GCAGCTTGAAAAACTCTGCCAGGAGGTGAAGGCCCTTCTGGGGAGGCCTGGTCTGACCCTGCGAGTGCGTACCCCTCCCCGCCACCCCTGCCAGCCCACCTTGTTGAGCAGGAACTCATCTAAGAACTTGAGCTCGTTGGCGTTGGTGATCTTGCGGAACACCGACTCCCGCCACTTCTCCGACACGGTGATTTTGCCAATCTTGAGGTTTCTGTTCTTCTTCCCTTTGCCTCCTGGCTCCTTGGTGTGCTTCTCACCTGCAGCGTGGTGGTGCTGGTGGCCAGAGGAGGCTGGAGGGGAAGGGTGAATGGTGAGGGCGGGTTCCAGGGGAGGACATGGGTTGGCCCTTTGAGGCATGGTCATTAACGCACAGAGCCAGGACCCCGCCCCACTGCGCACCAGGGTCCACCACCAGACAGCGCCCTCGGGGCCCAGGACCAACCTTGAAGCCCTGTGCCCAAGGCCCCACCTGGGGACCACCCATGACCCTGGGAGACCTGGTGCTGAGGCTGTGGGTGACCAACCTTCCAGATTCTTCTTCACGGTGGTGGCTTCCAGCACGATGTGGCCGGGTACCAAGTTCTCGATCTCCTCCATGCCCTCCAGGCTATATTTTTTATCCTTGTTCTTGTGCAGGAAAAGTCTCTTAAACGTGGATCTGTAGGAGAAATTAAGGGGTTCCACTTAAGCCTGAGGAAATGAAAACAGATGTGAGGCAGGGAAAAAAGATCATCTTACTGTAGAGAAAAATGGCCTTCTTCTTGGTTATCAATGGAACAGGATGGTACTAACAACAAGGTCAATTTGCGTGAACTGACAGGAGTCAGGTGCAAGTGCACGATGCTGAGCAGAAGTCACAGCGTGACCCCATTTTCGTATTAAAAAAGAAATAAAACTAGCCCTGCCCCTCATGTGTTTTCATGGGCACAGGATAGGAAAAACAATCAGGCAGAACAAACGCAAACCGTGCCCCGCGGCTGCTGGCTGTGCTGAGCTGAAAGGTGGCCCTGAAGAGAAGCGTCTGTGCGCTAACCCCCAGGGCCTGTGAGCGCAACCTTATTTGGGAAAAGGTCTTTGCAGATGTGACTGAATGCTATGGACTGAATGTCTGGGTCCCCCTAAATTCATATGCTGAAGCCTAACCCCCAAAGAGATGGTGTTACGAGGGGGGCCTTTGGGAGGTGATGAGGTCATGAGGATGGAGCCCCCATGATGGGATTAGCGCCCTTATAAAGGGACCTCAGAGAGCTCCCTGGCCCCTTCTGCCCCGTGAGGACACAATGAGCAGACGCCGTCTGTGAAGCAGGAAGTGGCCCCACCGGATACTGAATCTGCTGGCGCCTTGACCCTGGGCTTCCAGCCTCCAGGACTGTGAGAAGTACATACGTGTTTAAGCCACACGGTCTGTGGGGTTTTGTTATAGGAGCCCAACAGACTAAGACACCAAGTGAAGGATCTGCAGACGGGATCACCTGGATTACTCAGATGGGCCCTCAATCCCATAACAGTGTCCTTATAAGACAGAAAAAGAAGATGCAGGGGAGAGAAGAACGTCGTGCAAAGATGGAGGCAGAGATTGGAGTGATGCGGCCACAAGCCAAGGGGCCCCTGGGGCCCCCAGAAGCTGGGAGAGGCAGGAAGGACCCTCTCTGAGAGCCTCCAGAGGGAACAGGGCCCTGCCATACCTTGATGTCGGACTTCTGGCCTCCAGAGCTGTGAGAGAATAAACTCCTGTTTGAAGCCACCTGGTTAGCGGTGCTTTGTTCTGGTGGGGGTGTCGCTGCAGTGGGGGGCTCTCTGCCTCCTACCACGGGCCCATTCTATACCTGCCTCAGCCTCCGGTCCCTGCGTTCAGATCAAAGCTCCCCTGTCCCAAGGCCGCTCCTCTCTGCTCTGTGCTGGAACCATCCAGAGCACTCTGGCTTTCTGGGGACGGAGCCTTGGCCCAGTTTGTTCTACCCAAGGACCCAGGAGGCGTTCCCGGAGGTAGAGATGGGGGAGCCGGAAGCTGGTTCTGATTCCATAAAAAGTCAACCGTTAGCTCTCTGTGGACCCAGAGGAGGTGACCCGGATTGGCTCTAAGCTTCAGCAGGTATCGTTCCACCCCGACCCGGCCATAATCAACCTGGGCTCCACGCGGGTCTCTCCTCGTGGAGCTGCTGCAGAGCACATGCCTGCCCAGCATGTGCATCGTAAATGCCATCGCTTTAGAAGACCAGACTGCTCCGAGGCCGGAGGCCTGGGCAGGGACCCTGTGTGTCCTCTGGTGGCCCGAGCCCACTCCCAAACCCCACGCTTACTTAGAGTCGGTCTGGGAGCCTGGAGACAGCCCCAAATCTGCGCCAGAAGACGCATCCCCTGACTTTTTCTTCTGGACGGCCGGCTTCTTCATGCTCGGCTCCCCGTCCACGGTTTCCGTAGAAGGCTGCAGGAGAGCAGGCTGTTAGGTAAGCAAAGGCAGGCAGGCCCTGAGGGATGGAAGGCAGGGGTCCCCGCGTCATGGGGACTTCCCTCCCCTCTTCAGCTGTCCTCTGGGTGGAGCTGGGGCTGCCAGGGCAGCAGCGGGCTTGGACCCAAGGGGTGAGAACTACAGCCTGGAGCTTTACCTGAGTCTTGGCCAGGGATGGGGACGGGGACGGGAGGAGCTTGGAGACGTCGCTGGCAGATAAGGAAATGCGCCTCTCCCTGTGAGATCACAGAAATGTGGCTTATATTGACAAAAGCGAGTTAGGAGACATTTTTGGTTGTCACGGCCTGAGGGGGTGCTGCTCTGCACCTCACAGCACACGGACAGCCCTACCCCAGAGAATGAGCCACCCCACATGTCCGCAGTGCTGAGGCTGAGAAAGCTCGCCCTAGCAAAAGGCCTGCATCTTCCTCCAACTCCTCTTTCCTTTGGCCAAGCAGGCCTCTGAGACAGAGGCTGGAGATTCGGAGTCACTCACATTTCCTGAGGGTCAGGCAGTGTCGAGAGCTTCTCCTCCGACCCCTGGGTGAGTGCGACCACTCCCATACTCCCATTCGTTCAGGGACTGAGGCCCAGGAGGACTGGGGAGTGGGGACCTCGACCTGAGGGGCTGCCTCCCCCAGGGCTGGAGGCTTTCCGTGTGAACACAGCTCTTTTCGGCTCAGGGTCCCGGCCAGGTCCCAGCTGGGTGGCCTGGGCAGGTGCCTCATCTTCACTTTCGCCCACAGCCCTCCTGCCTTCCTTGGGGCTCCCACACACCGGGGGTCAGCTCTTGGGCATGGAGCTGCGTACTGTTTTTGGGATGCGTGGCGCTGCCCTGGTCCTGCTGCCAGGCCTTTGGCTGAGCACCTCCCGCCCTGCCCATCTACCCAGCCTGGCGCCCATGGTGCTTGGACAAATGAGGGTGTGGGGCTTACTCTGTGGGCGTGAGAGGGGCCCCCACAGCCCGGTGCCTCTCGCTGAGGTCCAGGGACTGGCTCAGCATGGCGCTGGAGCCGGCAGCCAACAGCTTCTTGCCCCGCCACAGCTCCACGGCACTGGCCAGCCGCTCGGAGTCCGAGTCCCGGTACCGCTGGATCTGGGTGGAGCCTCCGGGGCTCTCAGGCTGGTCCTGTGTCCTTAGGCCGCCACCTGGCTTACTCTTGTCCTTGGGGGTCTCAGGGGTGGTGCTGTCCAGGGCCAGGCTGGTTGGCCGTTCCATGTGGCTGAGCCTCGGGCTCCCACCCTGGGGCGCCTTTGCAGTTTCTCCGTGGACCTGGGTGGCTGGCACGGCCTGCAGTGGCTCTTCAGGCTGCTTTTTAGGAGAAGCGTTCTCCATCTCCATCTCTGTGTCTGGAAGCATTTCATCTTCTCTGCTCTCTTTTCTGTTTTCAGGGATGCTCTCCTCTTGCTCTGAGACAGCCCTTCCAGAAGGTTCTCTGAGGGCGTCCTCTTCCTTACAGGACTGGATGTGTCTGTTCTGGAACTTCACATGTTCCAGCCCTCTCTGCCGCCGCGACTCGCGCTTCTCCCGGCTGCTAGGCACTTTCTCAGGAGTCTCGACCGCATTTTTCTGGGGTAGGAGAGGCTTCTCTGGGCTTGGGACCTTCTTCTCAGGGCGCGAGCTCTCTGCGGGGGGCCCGTCGCTTGGACACACCTCGGGCTCCAACGCCGAATGCTCATTCTCTGTCGGTTCCTGGCCCTGCTCGGTGCCCAGCTCCTGCCTGGACGCCTGGCCTGGCTCGCCCGCTGAGATCTCTTCCCTTGTGGCTCGCTGGGCTTCCCTCTCCTTCTCCTTGGCCTTCTGCTGCTCCGCGACCATCTGGCTGAAGCTGGTGTGAGGAGGGTAAACGGAGCAGGTTCAGGAACTGACGTGAACACGGCCTCCAGAATCTACCCTGGCCCTGGGGGGCCTCTGGGCTGCCTTCCGGTGGGACTCCTGTGCTGCCCGCAGGCTGGGCTCTGCCTCTACTGAGTGGTGTGACCCTGGCCCTCAGAGATGATTCTAGAAAAGCAGAACCTCCTCAGCCAGGAAAGTGGGGTACAGGGGATAGCCCCTTGTTGTCATGGCTACCTTTGTCTTGGGTCAGCCTGGCTGATTAGGGGGGACGTTCGTTAGGTCCGTTGTGAGAGGAATCTGTTAAGAAACCCCTGAATTCCTTTGGGGTCCCTGGGCCAGTGGACACGTGAGTTCTGTGTGTGAGCGTGGGGAGAGGGGAGCCCACTGGGGACTGATCCCAGCGGCCTGAACCCCCCACCTCTGAATCCAGCTGCTCCACTCAGCAGCCTGGAGTGGCTAGGTACAGTGGGAGGGGCCCTGGTGGAGACCAAGTGCAGCCAGTGGCAACATGTGGCTTTGCCAGAAAGTGCCTCCCACTAGCCCTGGAACACCTCTCCGTGGCCCCACGTGGCCAGACGACTGGATTTCCACCAGCCTCCCTCCAGCCACCCTGCATCTAGAATGACATCCTGACAATTCTGCTGGCTGGAAGGTATCTCAGGCAGCTACTGGGTGAGTGAACTTTCTGGTTTCTGGAATGTTCCAGGGGGCCAGGCAGGGGCCCTGCTCTGCTCACCTCTTGCGCTGAAGGTGCCCCCGGCAGAGGCTCTGTAGGCGGATGATGCTCTGTCTCCGGCGCCGGTAAGCCATCCGCTGCTGGTAGCCCCTCCACACGGCCTGGAGGTACACAGCCGCCTGTGTTCTCTCCAGCGCCTGCCGGACGTGGTATGACCGCCAGCAGGCCTGAGGGTGAAGCAGGTGTTCAGGGGCCAGGTGTGCATAATCCCGGCCACCCTCCCCCCAGCCCTGTGGGGCCCGCTTGGGACCTGGATGGTGATGGCCGCCTGCCTCATGTGCAGGAAGTGCCGGCGTTCCAGCACCATCCGGAACCAGCTCTGCAGGAGCAGGATCTTCCGCACAACCTCGCGGTGCAGCGTCTCCTGCAGGGCCTGCCGCTCCGTCTCCTTCAGGAAAACCTGGTGGGTGCAGGCACAAGAAGGGTCAGCACAGCCCCCGGGTTGTGCCTGGGAGGTCTGCACAGTCCCCCCCGGGAGTAAGTGAGACCAAGCTGGTGTGATGACTGACCTGACCAAGCGGAGTTTTTTTTAAGTGTATCAAGACAGAATTCATAGAACATGAAATTCACCATTTAAAGTGAATAATTCAGTGGGTTTTAGCACATTCACAATGTTGTGCAAACCATCACCTCTTCCTAGTTCCAGAACATTCCATCACCCCAAAGAAAGCCCTGTCCCCAGGAGCAGTCACTACCCCTCCCCCAGCCCCTGGCAACCAGTGATCTGCTTTCTGTCTCTATGGATTTGCCTGTTCTGGATGTTTCGTATAGGTGGAATAATACAAGATGTGGCCTTTTGTGTCTGGCTTCTTTCACTCAGCATAAAGTTTTTGAGGTCCATTATATTATACTGTGTCAGCACTTCACTCCTTTTTATGGCTGAGTAATATTCCATTATATGGACAGACCACATTCTGTTCATCCATTCATCAGCTGATGGACACTTGGGCTGTTTCTACCTTTGGGCTACTGTGAACAGCACTGCTATGCACTTGTGTGTACAAGGGTTAGTTTGCACACCTGTTTTCAATTCTTTTGGGTTGATACCTAGGAGTGGAATTGCTGGGTCACCTGGTAACTCTATGATTAACTTGTTGGGGAACTGTGAGGGGACTTTTCACATCAGGCGAAGCCCTAATGGGGAGCTGCCCTTGGCACTTGTTCGACAAGGACAGTCGGGTGGCGCCCCAACAAGAAGAAACCAACACACACCCGGAGGTGAGAGGTGATTTCTGAAGGGAAGATGAGTGAAAGAGACCTGCTCCCAGACCGGTCCCTGAACACTGTGGGGTGGTGTGACCGTCCCTAGCCTACCCGTGAGGAAACAGGACAGCCCGGGGACGCCCAAGCCCTGCCCTTAGGTGCGCCCTCTGCCTTCCAGGAAGAATAGCGTGCTGGGCCCCAAGAAGTGTGCTTCCTCAGCAGAGCCCTTATGTTTCGTCGCGCGGCCCTGGAGGCCCCTGTGCACAGCAGAGGGCGGGGCACGGTCTGCAGCCGCCCTGAGGACAGGCATGCGGACCTTGGTCTTCCCGATCTGGTAGCTCCTCCTGTCCACGTCCATCCTCTCCAGCAGGGCGCAGATGACCTCCCTGCACGGCTGGGCGTTCCTGGGCAGCAGCACCTGGAACTGCTCGATAAAATCCTGGGTGATTCGGGCCGAGAAAGGAGAGCAGCAGTGAGCGTTTCCACCACCCACAAGGAGACGGGGCTCTAGCAATTCCCGGGTCAAGCCGAGTTTCCAAAGCCGAAACTTGGCTCGACGTGAACGGTATCGACAAATCTAAAATCTTGGACTTTCTGCAATAGCCTGAAGCTTAAGAGAGACCCTGGCAGACACAGAGGGCCAGGTCTCGAGTCGGCGGCAGTGGCTGTCGAGCGCCTGTGGGTGCTGGCGCTGTCAGGGCAGCCAGGAGACAGGGCTACCCTCAGGGGCTCACGGCCTACAGCTCAATGGAGGGCTGGGTCACAGTGGTCACAGTTTACTGACGTGCCTGGTCAGTAAACAATTATTTGAAATTTTAAGAGCCAAGGCCGGCCCCGTGGCTTGGTGGTTAAGTGCGCGCGCTCCGATGCTGGTGGCCCGGGTTCGGATCCCGGGCGTGCACCGAGGCACCACTTCTCCGTCCATCCTGAGGCCGAGTCCCACATACAGCAACTAGAAGGATGTGCAGCTATGACATACAACTATCTACTGGGGCTTTGGGGGGAAAAAATAAATAAATAAAATCTTAAAAAAAAAAAAAAAAATTTTAAGAGCCAAGGATTAGTCAAACACATCAGCATTTTCTCCTTTTTCTGTAATTTTGCCTTTCCTATTTAATAAAGGGTCAGAAAGCCCTTATTTTCAGTCTGTGGACAAAGGGAGGCACGCCCAGATGAAGCCAAGTCCCCGAGGCCACATGGATAAAGCTTGAATGGGGACTAGGTGCCACCTCTGGCTTCAGGCCCAGTGCTCACTCAGCCAGCACATGGGTGGTGCCAGCTCATGGCATGAGCCAGGGGTCCTCAACCCAGGCGAGGCAGACCCCTGAGGAGGTTCGGCCATGTCTGGAGACATTTTGGTTGTCACCACTCAGGGGTGGAGCGTGCTACTGGCATTGAGTGGGTGGAGGCCAGGGATGCTGCTCAACACCCCCCCCCCCAGTGCCCAGGATGGCCCTCCACAGAGGGTGACCCACCCCAAGCGTCAGTGGTATTGTAGTTGAGAAACTGCTCTAGCAATTTGGTCTTCACTGATTTGGCCTTCACCTCCCTGGGCCTTAGTTTCCATTTGGGGGAAAAAGAAACCAGGCCCTCTTGCTGCTGGTTGCCAGAATAAAAGAGCTGAATATAAGTGTCTATCACTTTATTAAGATGCTCAACAGAGGGTAGAGCTGTGGGGACCTGCTTGTGCAACTCCCTCTTCCCGGCCTGGCTTAACACCTCTGTATCCTTCAAGGCTTGGCTGGGCCCAGCCACCTCTCCGAGGAAACTTGCCCCCCACAAGAGAGAATGATCCGGCAAATGCCAACAGGGCCTGGGGTGGGTGGGTGGGCGGGGAACCCTCGGGTAAGGTAACCTGCTGGATTTGTGTCGCAGAGAAGGGCTCTGAGAGAGGGGCAGCCACACGTGTGCACGCAGGCGCCTGCAGTACCTGAAACGTGTACTTGGCACTGTAGCCGGACCTCCGGATGCGCACGGTCTCCAGCATGCCCGTGTAGCGCAGCTGTTGCAGCACCAGCTCGTCGTCAAAGCACAGCTCTTTCTGAAACGGGATGTGAGTGATCAGGGCGGGCGCCCCGGCCAGACGGCGACCAGGGACAGGGAGCTGTGGGACGAGGTGCCAATTCCCACTGCACTGCCACACCGAGGGATTCCAGACACAGACACCACCAAGGTGCGGCTGGCCTGGGAATGTCCCCAGCACAGCAGCCGTGGCCACCTGCGGATCTGTCTGTCGTTCCTTGCTCCAGACAGTCTTTTTGGAATAAAGAGAAATAATGAGATGAGCTGCTCAGCAGCAGTGCTCAGGGAATTCATCTCTTCTGGAAAACCTGGCATCTGATCTGCTCTGTTTCCTGGTGCCTGGGAGACAGATGCCCCTCCTCACTGCCTAAGTTAAGATAATTTGCTGCAAAGAGTTATTTCCTAAAGGCCCCAACCCGAACCTGTGCTGAGCTCACGCTCTGTGCCAGGCACCTGGGCAAGCGCGGGATTCGGCGGAGAGAGGACACGGCCTGGGGCAGGAGGCAGATGCATGTGAGCACAGGGCGGACGCTGCCAGGGCGGACGCTGCCCGGGCCTCTGTGGGAGGCGTCCTGGGAGAGGGGACGCTGGGCTGAGGGCTGAGGAGGGAATGGGCAGAGGGAGGAGGGCGGAGAGCAGCTGGTGAAGGCCCAGAGGAGGAGGAGGAAGCCGAAGGGCTGACATGGATGCAGGGAGATGCTCACTGCGGGGGGGCTGGAAACGAGGCTGCCTCAGTGGGCTTCAAGCCCGGAGCTCAGGGACCTGGCCTCCACACTGGTGGATGTTAAGTGGATGGAGGGGAGGGAAAGGCATGAAGGGAGGGTTGTCATGACTGGGCGGGGGGTGCTTCTGGCATCTGGTGGGCTCTTGGAGACCAGGATGCTGCTCAAGACCCCACAGTGCATAGGACAGCCCCCCACGGCAAAAAACCATCTACTGGCGTGCACCCTGCCCAGAGCAGGTGTTGATGGGTGTTGATGGAGCATTTCCCGAGTTGCCCAAAACTGAAGTAAGAATCCCAACAGAACTCAGAACCTCTGAGACACCGACGGGGGACCAGGAACGGGAGAGATGGCGCGACTCTGGGTCCTTGCCTGGGAGGATGGAAGCTGCAGCGCCAGCAGGGAGAGGCCAGGCTCTAGACGCTAGCGGAGCCTCCCAGGAGCAGGGGGGAGCCAGGGGAATGGGAAGAGCAGAGACTAGGGGACAGGTGGGCGAACAGAGTCGCCAGGAGGCTCCCGCCCAGGTGTCTCATCACCCCCAGGAGGGAGCCCAGACCCTGAGCAGCCCCTGGGCAAAGTCCCCGAGGGGACGGAATGGCCACTGGACCCCTGGGGCGAAGGAAGCCCAGCGGCGAGGGCCCCACTAGTGCTCCAAGAGTCTTTTCCAGAAACTTCCAGATGAGCAGCGGGCTCTGTGTCCCTGCTGTGTCACCTCTGCCGCTCTCTTCCGGTACATTCTCTGCACCGGCCACTTTGGGATGTATCTGAGAAGCACCCCTGACCCCCCCCTCTTTGAGCAAACCTTCTCTGGGCCTCTCCACATTCCAGACGATGTCCCTGCTCTTAGCTGGCCACTGGGCCACCTCTGCTGCTTCCTGCTGACCCCCTCCACCCCTGGCCAGCTATGGCATGCCGTTCAGGGTTCCTGGAACCCGTGTGAACACTCGGTTCTTTGAGGCCTTTCCTGGACCCCCCTGAGGCCAAGGCATGCAGGAACACCCCCAGCTGAGCCACCAGACCGCGGCCTTCACCTCACAGAGACG